ACTGTTTTGTTCCTGCAAGAAGACCACAGGCAGAAGAAAAATTGGTGAGAAACAGAACGGAGATTATCCCCGGGGATTCCTCATCCCAGGTGTTCGTGCAGAATTTCCATTCCCATGCAGAATGTAAGACACACCTTGAAAGCTTTGTTCAAAAGGAGGCAGGGTGGCACCCATTTGCTTGTTTATTGCCCTGAAAGTAACATACTGCTCTGTTGTTCACATCCATAGGCTCAAATGTGATTATCAAGATGAAGTTATCTAATTAGTAGCCTGACAATTGCCTCTGGGTTTTGTATGTTGTTTTTGTTAGGCTTGGTTTTACACCGTGGTCTCCTCTGGTTGAAAGACTGTAATGAAGGTGATTAAAATGATTCATTAACATTATACCCCTCTGAGCAAACAGTCCAGATATTTCCATATTCCCTGGTATTAAGCACAATGATCTTCACACAAAAATGTCCAAAGGTCTTTTAGACTCTTTATTTTTTTTCCCCCCAGCTTGACTGTAATTAATGTGCAAATTCATACACAATTAGTATACAAGCTGACTAGTTTCTGATTTGCTTTGGACTCTTTGGAAGGAAGCAAGTTAAAAAAAGCTCAGAGTTCATAACAACAGTAGACTATATATTTAAATGAATGCTACAACTAAATGTCTGTGAGTTTATCTGGTGTCCCTTAGCCATGTCATCGACTCAACTTTGTTCAGTAGACACCTACACAACACTACACTTTATTCTTTCAAACGAAAGCCCATGGGTGGCCACAGCTAGAAGGCTACAAAATCACAGAATCACAGAATGGCAGGGGTTGGAAGGGATCTCAAGAGATCATTGAGTCCAACCTCCTGGCTGAAGCAGGTACTCTATAATACATAGCACAGGTAGGAACCCAGATGAGTCTTGAATATCTCCATAGAAGGAGACGCCACAGCTGCTCTGGGCAGCCTGTTCCAGTGCTCCATCACCCTCACAGTAAAGAAGTTCTTCCGCATGTTTGTACAGAACTTCCTATGTTAAAGTTTTAGGCCATTACTTCTTGTCCTATCACTACACACCGCTGTGAAGAGCCTGGCTTCATCCGTTTGCCTCCCACCTCCCTTCAGATATTTATAAACATTTATCAGATCCCCTCTCAGTCTTCTTTTCCCCAGGATGAACAGACCCAGGTTACTCAGCCTTTCCTCACATGGGATATTCCAGAGGCCCTATATCATCACTGCAGCCCTCTGCTGGACTAGGAGATCCCTGTCTTTTCTTAACTGAGGAGCCCAGAACTGGAGACATTATTCCAGATGCAACCTCACCAGGGCAGAGTGGAGGGAGAGGATCACCCTCCTTGACCGGCTGGCCACGCTCTTTTTAATGCACCCCAGGATACCACTGGCCATTTTGGCTATACAAGCACAATAGAAAGCAATCCAGTATTTAAACTGAGTGCCTTGTTACCACTTTTTTTTTTTTTTTTTAATAAATATTTTAAAAGCAGTTAGTTTTTTGGCCACCAGCACTCTTCAGGAAAAGACAAACAATTCCTCCCACTGCTGGGTTTGCACTTCTGATTTCCATCCTAAATTTATTTATGGCCAGTTTCAAAGGTGCACTAGGTGCACTGGTTGGAAAACTTGTCAGAAGAAAAACAGGGGTAGAAATGTTAAAGCTATATGTTTTTTGGACTGACATTCTCTCAATCTGCATAAATAATTTGGCTATGGACACATAAGCCCTACTCTGCAGCTTTGAAAAGCACAGGCTTAATAGGGAGACGAATGATTGTATCTCCACAAACCACAGAACAAATTTCATTAGTATTTTCAGGTGGTGAGCCCAATGCTCCATAAAGCATTTTGAGCAGGATTAAAAATCTGAAGAGGCTTTTTCTTTTCTTAAAGTAGCATATATATGGCTATGGAAAACCCTTCTGAAGAACCGCTTCAACGCTTCCTGGGGCCCCAGTGCTGCCTGGCTCGGACCCAGAGAGAAATGCTGCTTCTGAGAAAGGCTGCCCTTGATAGTACTTTGAATACGAAACAGGATTTTGGTAACACAGCTGTACTCAGCCCATGAAGTAGATTTCATGTTTACTAAAAAGGCCTGTAATTTGTGGATCAAAAGTTATTTTCTTATTTTAAAAATAAAACTCAGCAGTGAAAACCCTACATGAAGAAAAGAAGATGCCAAAGTCAAAGACTGGTATGTTTGGGTCTCGTGCATCTGAATGTGACAGATACTTCTGCCTTCTTGCTGTGTTTAGCAGCCTGTGTAGCTGTGAGGTATTTCTCTGTGGTGGTTAGCTCCCAGAATTGGGTGCTGAAGAGGAATCAGGGCTGAGAAAGGACAATCACTGGGATGGAAGTACAAAAGGAAGGCTGTGGGATTAAAAGTAGTGATGGACAAAGATGAGAGGACTTTGAATGCTCTTTGTGCTATAAGGCTGGCACTGTACAAAACTGAAGAGGATCTGGATTTCAAGTACTTTGGCTTTTTTTTTTAAATCCCAAGACAAAAAAAGTCAATATGTACGATACTGGTAGGGATATGTCAGTGAAACAAATGAGCTGGTCATACAAACAATGCACTCAGTGGAATGCAAAGAAAGTGAAGGAAGTACAACAGCTGTGACTGAAAATGAGACATCCAGATTGTTTCAGATTTGCTTGGTCTGAGTTCTGGTTCAATCCATGTAGCAGATAAACAGTTCATGCAACCATTAAGGAACAAATAATCAAAAGCCAAGAAAAAGCCATCACGTACCATCATGTGAGCAAAACTACTGCACTGAACCTCCACCCTGCTGGAAAGTGGTAACATCAGATAAAAGCAAGGGGAAAAGAAATATTTTGCAAAAATCCTTCTTATGTTTTCCTGCTGGAACTTTCTAAAGTCCAACTACTAATGCTTAGTTCAGGTCTGTTCATAGGAAAAACAGAAGATGATGGAGTTGAAGAAAGACTGAATTTCCAATCTATGAAATGCTCTTAAGATTGTTTTTGAGCTTGTGTATTGCCCATGAAACAATGCCCAGAATCCAGATTCTGCAATGAGGATTAAAAACTGGAGAGAGAGAGACAGAGGCAGTCTCATGCACATCTCACTTGATATGCTATAGAAAGGGTTAAAATGGTCAGTTCATCACTCTCCTGCGTGGTGCCTCGGAAGTTTTCACAACACCAGATGTGTGGAAAAAAAAAGAAGAAAGAAAGAAAAGCGAACCCTAGTAGACATCCTGGTGCCCTGGAAGCAGTTAAATTAACACCCAGCAGGGACAAATTTGCAGCTTTGGGAACAAACTTAAAGTTAGTCTGTTTTCATTCCTGGAGTGAATTTGCAAGTGTATGACAGTGAAGTATAGCCTGGGAAGGAGCAGACAGCTTTGGATTAAGGATGGATAGCCAGAACTCACTTGCACCCTCCCTCTTCCCACACTGTTTTGCACTTATTGCTGTGAAGTTCTCAGTATATCTGCTCATCCCTATGGCTTCCCATGTCTTTTACCAGTTCTAGTAGGGAAAGAAGCCATTCTTTTTTTTTTTTCTCCCATTCTAGCTGAAACCAGAAAAGTCTGGAGTCACCCCAGCAAAGCCTGCTTTAGCTAGGCTCACAGCTTACAGTAATTTGAAGAAATCTAGTTCTGCAATGGATAAAGCTGGATATTCTTCCAACCAGAACCAAAGCACGAAATCCTTTAGTCATTCATCATTAGCTTGGAGCCAAACTGTGGCCCTGCTTGCAACCACTGCAAGTTATGGAAAGATCTGGAAAAATGTGAGACTGTGAGACTGCATCTAACTCATCTTCACAGAATTACAGGAAGCCTTCAGCATCTCTCTTCCTCTTACAGGTTGAAGAACAAACTGGCTCATCCAGAAATACCATCGTTTTCACTCTTTGTTCATTGCAAGTATTTTGGTATTAGTCAATCACGGGGAATTTTTCTTTCAAGGGGACTGTCCAGCTTCTTAAGAAGGCCCAAGAGTACCATTCAATCTGCCTCTTTTTTTTGTGTATCTTTTGCAAGGGAGGAAGAAAGCAACATGTTATTTATTCAATGGCTACACTTTCAGCTGGGAGTGGTACAAGAGCTGTAGGGTCCCCTGAAGGAAGAAAACCAGAGAACTGTTCATTTTTTTTCACCTTCCTTGTCCCTGGAGGTACACAAGAAATGTAGAGATGTAGCACTGAAGGAAACGTGGCCGTGGTGGGGATGGGTTGATGGTAGGATGTGATGATCTTAGTGATTTTTTTGACCTTAATGATTCTGTGATTCTATGATTCCCTTGTACCAAGTGTTGGCTCTGTTTGACCACACAAGTTGGAGAAAGTCAATAAAAAAGCAAAATAAAACAGCACAAAGAAAAAGATGGAAGTCCTGTGAAAGCTTACACAAATGTCAGAGCTAGAGGAAGGAATGGAAATGAGGCTGCAGCGTGGAAGCCTCCTTTGCCCCTTTCTGAAGCAGCTAGGCCAAAGACCATCTCCAACTTCCTATAAAGCCTCATGCACGAGTATCAGAAACCTGCTATGCCATGTATTCCATGCCACCCCATGGACCCTGCTCTTGCCTCTCTTCAAGAGAGAATCTGTGCTTCTTGAGGAATGGAGTCAACAGCCCAACTCACAGCATGGCTTCTCCTTGCCCACCAGTGGTTCTTGTAGTAGTCCAGGTCATGGGAGCAGTGGGTAGCCTGGCCTTGGACCTAGGACTGCCAGATCTGGGGACCTGGACCAGCCAGTGGTGCCGTTGGTATGCAGCTTGAGCACCCACCTCTGACTTGCTCTCCTCCTATCCTGCATCAGGAGATGCTCAACCATGCTCCTCCTTGCTTAGGGTCCTGGGCAATGTCAAGTTGAAGACTGCAGTCAGGCCTTTCTTTGGCATATTGTCATGTAATTCAGTGCACTGTGACATCAGCCTGAGCATTCCTTTCAGGCACTGCAGCATGGCTGGGTTGGGGGAAGCTGAGTGTCTTCTGCAACAAGTTTACGCCTCAAATATATGTCTGAACTGTGCCTTTGTCACAGTTTACATAGGAAGGTTAGGGCATTAACTACATATAGAAAATTGATATGAAGGAGAGGGATAAAGATCCTTTTTAACTGATTTCTGTGTTTTATACTGATTCACAATATGATGTGGACCTCAAATAATTCCTAACCTCTTCCTATAAAATCAGAAGACCGTTAAACTCATAAGTTTCCACAGCTATGTCAAGACTAAGTATTATGATTAAAAGATTAAAAGCCCTTTGACTTTTCAGGAAAACCAACTGAAGCAGGACTGAACCAACAGGGGAAGCATTCAGCCCCATTCCAAATGCCCACTGGGAATTGACAGAGCTTCATCAAAAGGGACAGAGAAGGGAAGACTCTTTTTGAAGAGATAACATGGACTCAGTACAGTTGGCCTGTTCAAAAGAGGCTGCCGTCAAGGCCCTTCTCCTTTCTTGTTTACATGTGTGTAAGCAGTACGTCAGGAATGGCCAGAGCACGTCCACCCATAGGCCCTCTGAAGAACAAGTAAGATGCTGGGTTCACCTTGATGGGCTGTTTGCCATCAATTTACAGGTACAAGGAGAAGAGGCATCAAGTATGATTCTCAGAGCACCAGACGTCTCTTCTGGGGGATTGTGAAAGCTGTGAGGGCTAAGAGCTGTGAATGCTGGGTCAGCAGGGAAGACTCTCAGGCAAGGGGCAGAGGGCAGGCAGGTCAAGAGGAGCAGTGGGGGGTGATAGGCTCAGGCACTATCCTAGAGCACGAGAATAGTGTTTCTGAGATTGATATTTGGTCTCGTTCTACTCCAGGACTCAGTGACTTCTGTGAGAGGTAAACGTGTTACTTAGGCTCTTATCCAACAGCTAGTGGATTGACTGTAATGGCTTTGGATGAGATCTTCCTTCTCTCTTTTCCAAAATATATAATATACAGCATAAACAGCAATATTTCCTTACTCTCAAGCTTTGGCTGGTCTGCTTATTTACATTAGAAATTCTTCAGGGCAAAAACTGTCTCTTACACTGTATATGTATATTACCAGATAGAGGCATGCAGAAATGAAGCAGGCAGATGGTTCTGGACTAGTTCTGTTGGAGCATCTGGCTGATTTTCTGGATCAGCATCACATATGAATGGTAAAGTCACCAGTGAAAACGCATATTAAAGGAATATTACTAGTTTGGTTGCTGTCTTAATGACAGTCATCTGTGGCCTGGGGCAGATATAAACCATAAAAAACACCAGCAGTAAAAGTGACTAAATGAAGGAACAAATATTTGCCATTATAATATTCCTTCATTTTGAACCCCTAGAGAGGTAAATTACTGAGACTTGCTGCTGAGGGCTTCAGGGAATTAAAATAATACAAAGAAAGGGATAGGAAGAGAAATGAGAGCTAGGCTTTGTTATTTATTTATTTATTCATTTTGTTCTTAAACTTCTTGAGGTATTCATAAATTGCCTACAAACAAGCAAAAACTTACAGGAAAGGGGTTTTTACCATGCCAGCTCCAAATGGCTGTGGAATTATATTCTTTTTCCAGGCTGCTTTTCCAAAATCCCTGCAGGAAGTTGACTCAGGGCTTGACTCTGTCCTCAGATGCACACAGAAATAGCAGAAATCTTCAAGCAGGTAAGAAGCACAGATATCTCAGCTTCACTGATCACAGTGAAAACCACAGGTCAAGCAGCAGAGGGCCAGACCTGAAGCACCTTTGTTTCCTTGCCTCCCAGTCAGCATTGCATCCTCACAGCTCCTTATCACAATCTTGTCCTGCTACCCCTCCTTTCAAGTTAATCCCATAAGCAGACTCACGTCTTGTTTTTGGTGGTGGTTCCCTACTTCACTCTACCATACTCCAAGTTTTATAAACTGTAAATTCTGCCAGCAGCAGTTAGGATCTTTTCACCTGTCCTTTCCTCCTTGCAACCCGTACATCTTACTTCACATATGCTTAAGGCACCTTTTCTGTCCCTCTGCTTTTCCATCCTTGCCTCTGTCTTCAAGGTGCAGAAAAATCACAGGACTGAAGCATGTAGCATCCTAACTTGTTATTTCCCCACAACCAGGGCAGATCAATGCAGGCCTCAAACAAACATTGGTAGACATGCAGGTGAATAGAAGCTCATATCCTTCAAATTCCTGCTGTAAAACTCATATTTTCTTGATTCTTACAGAAGCCGCATCAAAATTGTCCCTTTGAGACAGATCCCATTTTAAAATTGTTTATACAGTTCTTCATTTTGCCCTGTCAGTGTACCTTCAAGGCATTTTCACAATGGTAACAAATTGTAAGTAAGAGTTCAAGTGTGTTGCCATTAGCACAGGAAAGTGCAATGGTATTTTGTATTGCTATCCTCATGGGGGTACCTTCAAAAAGCAGCCCAAATGAGACTGCAACGATTATCTCAGCAAAGTCACTGAATCATAGAATGAATCACAGGATCATAGAATGGTTTGGTTTGGAGGGAACCTCAAAGCCCACCCAGCCCCAACCCCTGCCATGGGCTGGTTGCCCCCACCAGCTGAGGCTGCCCAGGGCCCATCCAGCCTGGCCTTGAGCTCCTCCAGGGATGGGTACCACAGCTCTCTGTGCAGCTGTGCCAGGGCCTCACTGCCCTTGGAGTAAAGAATTCCTTCCTAACACCTAACATCCATCTCTCAGTTTAAAGCCATTCCCCCTTGTCCTATCACAATCAGACCATGTAAAAAGTCAATCCTCCATTTGTTCATAAGCCCATTTCAAGTACTGGAAGGCTGCAATGGGGTCCCCTGGAGCCTTCTCCAAGCTAAACAATCCCAACTCCCTCAGCCTTTCTTCATGAGAGCGGTGCTCCTGCCCTCCAGGGCTCAAGGTATCCCAGATCTCCAACCCCAGAAGCATTTAAGAGCCTAATGTACTATTCTAGTACTATAAACACTTTACGAAAAGAATTCAAGAAAGCTTATGAAACTGGCAGTGTCCATGAGCCTTTGAATTACAATGTCCTCAGGGACTGACCAACTACAGTGAGATCGTCTGTGCATTTCATTTAATAAACAGAGTATGAATGATAGAAGGCACCACCAAAACACAATGACCACTGCCCACTAATGACAATAAGAAACCTTTGACATTTTCTCTCTGTTTTTATGTTCATAAATCAGTTACAACCATGCAATCTATGGTAGTTATTAGGACATACTCATGTTTTTATTCAGAATATTTAATTTAGAAGCCCTTGCATGAAGGAATGCAACCAAAATGGAGCTATCAAGAAAAGCTCTCATCCAAATACTATTTTTACAGCGAGCACTGAAAGAAAGGTCACATTGTTATTTTCTTACACTATGGAACGGTTTCTATTATTGCAGATTCCAAAAGCTTGGAATCGTTGTTATTTATGATCTAAGTCAAATTTAAGTCCTGGTTTGTACCAATTACCACAAGCCACTCTAGGTTTTTCCTCTTCATTTCACAAATATTTGCAAAATAATTCTTTTGCACTTGAAAACAGAGAGGTTGCCTCCCAAAATGCACTCTTCTTTAGTAAAGAAGGAAATCCTTTGTGTTTAATGGTAAACACAAAGGTCCAGGAAAATGTTTTGATGTGAATCATCCAAATTTTCTTTACAAATTTTGGAAGCTAAATTAGAAGTTTAAGACATTGTTCAGCAGTGAGTGACAAGACCTTTCCTAGCCATTAGATCTTCTGCTCCTAGTGCTCCTTCCTTGCACAGCATGCTAGCAACCTGACAGTTTAACACACTCTTCTTATTAAATTCATATGGTGCCCATGCTTTAAAGAAGGCCATATCCTGCTGCCTACTGTCTGTTTTAAATCCAATTATGTTCTCTCAAAAAAAGTGAAATTACCCTGGGTGCACACCGGAGAAGTTCTCTGCAGAGCTGCCAGGTTAGTTAAACAACCACCTGTATCCTTTGGTGGTATTTAACAGCAATGCATGTATATATCAGTATATATTTATGATTTTCTGGGCATTTGAAAGGCTGATGCAGTGGAGGGGGCCTGTAAGAGAGAGTCACCTGAACACCTGGAGCTCCTCCAAGCACACGCCATGCAGTGGTGACACACTGCTCAGTGCAGAGCTGCTGCATTGTCCCACATGTACCCAGTGGGCTGAATATGAGCCAGCAGTGTGCTCAGGTGGCCAAGAAGGCCAGTGGCATCCTGGCTTGTATCAGGAATGGTGTGGTGAACAGGACTAGGGAAGTAACACTGTCTCTGTACTCGGCACTGGTGAGGCCCCACCTCAAGTACTGTGTTCAGTTTTAGGCACCTCAATACAGAAAGGACACTGAGATGCAGGAGCAGTTCCAAAGAAGGGCAGCAAGGCTGGTGAAGGGTTTGGAGAATATGCTCTGTGAGGAGTGACTAAATGAACTGTGGCTGCTTAGTTTGGGGCTTATTGCTCTCTTTAAATACCTGAAAGGTGATTGCAGTGAGAGTGGGGCTGGTCTCTTCTCTCTGGTGACAGGTGACAGGATGAAGGGAAATGGCCTCAAGTTGCTCCAGGGGAGGTTTCTGTTGGATATCAGGAAAAACTTCTTTACAGAAAGGGTTGTTAAGCACTGGAATTGACTCCCCAGGGAGGTGGTTGAGTCACCATCCCTGGATGTGTTTAAAAACTGGACGTGGTGCTCAGGGACATGACTTAGCGGAGGGTTGTTAGTTAGGGTAATATGGTTAGGTTGCAGTTGGACTTGATGATCTTTAAGGTCTTTTCCAACCTGAGAAATTCTGTGATTCTATTCTATGATTCTATGTTGAGTCCTGACATGGAGAACCTGGGAGTACATTGGTCATAGGCTACAAACAGCTGTAGGGGTACATCAGGAAAGAGGCACATATGGATCACGGATCACTTGTGCTAGGGGCAATGGAGAAGGGAATGGGTCACTCAGTACTCAGTAGGAAGGGAGAATGGTTGGTTGGATTAAAAAGGAACCTGTTAAGATCTGGTGAAAAAAAAAATCATCTAAGGTATGCCCTGGTTAGGGCAAGTAACAGCAAAAAAAGCTCCAAAATCTAATCACACTGCATTTCTGGGTTTTGAAAAAAAAAAAAAAAAAAAAAAAAAAAGAGAGAAAAGAAAGAACAGAGAGATGATCACATTCCCAAAGACATTATAAAGGGATAAGAACTAAAAAGATACTGAGCTCTGCACAGGGCAACACTGTTGTAACTACGTAAGCAACATACTTAAAAAAAAATCCAACTCTGACACTTCCAGAACCTTACAAACAGGGACCACTGGTTGTTTCTGTAAAGGAGGAATGAAGCTCTCAAAATCTCTTGCACTGTTCTTTCCCCCGCAGCTGAGATCAAATACGGCTCTTGTGGTCCATGGAAACCAGGGGAGGGAAGGGATGAGAAAGGAAGGGAAGTATTGCAAGCCCAATTTATTTTGTACAGAATTTAGAGCTTCTAATTACACCCTAAAGAAAGAGTGTTTAATTTGTATGAGTTTTTTCTTGGGTGTGCATATGTTGTATCCTGATAGACAATGGAAAGGTGAATCTTTCTCACAACAATGGAGAATAAAACTATATACAAGTAAACAAAACCTTCATTTCATTCAACCTTCTTCCAGGAAACCAAGATGATTTCCATCATTTTTATGACTTTTCCCTAGAGGCAAAAGACATCTAATTAGCAAATTGCACTACAAGTTTGCTCCAATTTGACACAAAGTAAATGTGACAGGGAGAGAAATTATAAACCTTAAATATCAGTTAGCAAGCTTAGGCTGACAGAGTCAAGTTCAAGTCCTTTTTGGTGACCTAAAAGCTCAGGGAGAAAAAAAAAATCCAAAGAGTGATCTGGTCCAGCTAAAGATGTGATTTTGTAGTGTTCCAGTCAGTGTTATCTGATGGCAATATCATAGCAGCAGCTTATGAATGTGCACTCGCAGTTCCAGCTGCAAAGCATTTCAGCCAGTTCTGAGATTGCCCTTACAGCCCACATTTACAATCAGTATAGGATCTAAGGAGAAACTGAATGATACCTAGCAGACTCAAACCTTTATACCTCATGAAGAAATAGGGCATGAGTAAAATAAATATTAATCATGAAGTTAATTAGTAAGTGCTTGTAATTACTTATGCATTGCTGTTAAAGATCAGTAGAAATCCTAAAGGATGGAAGATGATCCTCCCAGAAAGAAGACCAAGCAGCCTAAATTTAGCCCCATTGCTAAAATCAGCACAGTTGATCCATGAGCTGACTTTAACCTTCCTTGTTTTTACCAGAATACAATGTTAGGATCTCTCGTCCTGCTCAGCTTTAATATCCAGGCTGGAGCCAAGGGGACAAGCAGGTCCCAAACAAGATGTTGAAGGGCTCTTGCATTTGTGCCTCCTTTTGGTCAGGCGCAGGAATAGGTTGTGCAAAGAAGATGTGGATGCTCCATCCTTGAAGGCGTACAAGGCCAGACTGGATGGGGCCCTGGGCTGCCTGACTTACTGGGTGGCAACCCTGTCACCAGCAGGAGGGTGGAACTGGATTATCTTTAAGGCCCCCACCAACCCAAGCCAATATATCATTCTGTGATATATGAAGGCAGGCCCTAAAATTGTTCACATAAAAATTGCCACGTGAGCAGCTATCTTCAAACTGATTCCAGATCTTGCACGTTAGGACCAAGTTTATACCATCACAATTATAATTCCTGCAGCTACAGAACACTCTACTGAGAGGGATAGTCCTTGATTTTCTAAATTCCAGCAGAACTTTGGAACAACTGCTAAGGATCTGCATTCATGATACATTATGCAACTACTGCTATGGCCTTGTTGCCTCATGCCATCGTGTTGGTTGCCTCCCTCAGCAGCCCAACAGAGCAGCAGCTAGCACTGCCTCGAACAGAGTTACTCTCAATGTTTTTTACTCTTTTCCAGAATGTGACCTTGCATATTTTTCAGAAAAACAGTAGTGTTTGCAAAAGTCCTGCTTGCCTCCCCTGTGCTGACAGATTGCTGGAAGCTTCACCATGGCTGAATGAAGAACCTGTTAAAATTCATTTGCCTGCCAGTCTATTAAGTGAATGGGGAAATGCACCGAAGAGTTGAGCACACAGTGGTCCAAGGAGGAGGAGAACAGCCAGTGGAGACCTCTTTTAAAAAAAAACAAAGCTGTGCTCGCTTCCTGCTTGCTGCTCATTTTCTGGCATCCTCCAGCAAAACAAACCCTCCCTACCCAAAACTGCCTAAAAATTTCACCTGGTGCCTCTTGGGAAAGGATTCTCTGCTGGAAGAACTCGTGGTCAGGTGATCAGGGAGCTTAAACAAGTTAACATGAGGAAGGTTTCCATGCATACAACTGTATTTTCTTTGTTTCAAAACATCGGTTTGTTTGCCCAAACAGTTTGGCCAAGATACTCCAGTTCTGAACGAGTCACTCGCAGTGCTGCTTCTCAGTGACTTTATGGAAGACTTCAGGTTTCACTTTTCAGTATTTTCCTATAGCACTTTTACATATAAGAAATTTGTGAACAATCTTTACACCTAGATTGCCATTCTATGCTTTCAAATACGTTCAATTCAAGGCCTGCCAGAACTCAGTGTGATTTAAACATCCCAAAATCAAATGCATATTTTATTTCATTTGCAGCTGGTTTCCAGTTTTGGGGATACAGTAAGGTTACATATTTAAATTTTATTTTGTCAGGTCTGAAAATGATAATCTGGTGCACAATGATTTGGTATACCACAACTGATCATATCAAAGCAGTGTCTGATGATAAAACAGTGGTATATAATTGAAGATGTATCTGTGGCAACCTTCACCTTCTTATCGAGCATGTATTTTATGCACAGAATATTCCCAGAAGTGTGATGGGTGTTTATAAAGCTCATAGATAAGTCTTCGTTTTTCTCTGCCAAACAGATAACAAATGTGCAAACAGTATTTTTGTCATGTCAGTCAAACAATATCTAAAAACAGAATTTCCTAACCCTGCCTCCCTGAGGAAAACGATGGCATAAAAATTAACTCTGTAAAACACTTTATCTAAGACAAAAGGAATTTGTTAGTTTTGCCATCCAAAAGAGTCTACAATTTTGTACGGTTGGAAACTTAGATAGGAGTCCAAAATAAGCTCAGCTCTGCTCTGCTATCTCACCTTTCTGACAAGTATTGACATAATACATAGCAGTGACATTCACTCTTGCTTTAAGAAAAAACAGTGTTATGAACACGTCTTTTTTGAAATTCTTATAACTGTGCATCTATGATACACTTGAACAGGAGCTAAACAGGTCATCACCAGCTCTGCTGAAGAGTGTTCTGAGGTCATTACACACAGGTACGCATCTCCTGGAGGAAGGAGGCCAAGCTGGAAAACCCTTCTTATCGCTCATACCGGAATAATTCTGTAACCAAATAAGGAGGAATTTGCCTTACCTGTCTGTGCTGCTGAGAGACTGGATACTGCAAACCTGAGATTTGCTGGCTTTGCTGAATTTTCTGAAGCATCATTTTCTGTTGCATTGCTAGGGGCACATTGGGTGGCCTTTGAAGAGACTGGTTTGGGAGAGGCTGAGCAGGCGGCGGCTGTGGCTGCTGTTGCTGCTGTGGCTGTGGCTGTTGCACTGGTGCTGAACTCTGAGCCTGCTGCGTGTAGTGCAGAAGGGAAGGCTTGCTTTGGGAACCCAAAACTGAAGGCATCTGCTGGTTTGTTTGCTCTGAGTTAAAGTGAAACAAAGGCTTTGTATTACCATGATGCTGCTCTAGTGGTGGCTGAGCACTGTTAATAAAATTTCTGTTGAGGTCCTGAGTCTTCTGTTGCATGATCACGTCCATGGGATTACTCTGGGGAGTAGTTGGCTTATAAACATAATTGTTCATCCCTTTCGACTGGTTTCCATTCACAGGTACTCCAAGCATTGCTGAGCTCTGAGGACTGAACTGCTGCTGACGAAAAGAAGGACTGGGGATTTTTTCTTGCACAAAGGGTCCGGGTGAAGGACCTGATGAAGACAAGGTGGACCAGTTGGCCGTCTGGTTCTGCTGCTGCTGTTGCTGCTGGATCAAGGCATGCTGCTGACGGTTGGCTGCGATCTGCTTGAGTTGCTGCGCATGAGAAACCTCCTGCCAGTTAGGCAATGGCCGACTGGATGCAGAGGAAACCTGTGCTACTTGTGTTTGATTCTGAGGCACCGAAGGGATGGGTGAAGAGGTGGACATGGCAGCAGTGGCCATAGTGAAGGCTGGACCTGTAGAAGAAGGCCTCATCTGTGGGGACCCTACAGGAGCCTGGTTCATGCCTGGTGCATACTCACTCTTAATTACCATCTTATCCATCTGCAGGGGCCTCACAGGGCCCCTCTGGCTTTGCTGCCCAAGGTCAATGTTGAACGGCTCATCCTGTTTTATTGTGGCATTTATCATATTCTCTAGTTCAAGATCACTCATTGGTGGTACTGATATATTAGTCAGTTCATTAAATAGTTCCTGGAGCTCTGGATCCATCATCTGTTCCCCTGAGTCTTCCCCATATCTGTTAGGGAACATGTTCTCATGGGACATCTGGCCATCTAAGTGTTTGCTGCAAGACATTGTTTCTCCTGGTTCTTTCTTTACTTCTTTCAAGGTCATATTAAAAATGCCATTCCCACTGGCATGCGTGTTGTTTGCTAGGTTGTTGGTCTTTCTTTGTGATCCTTGCCCCACAGTCATAGTTCCAGACATTGACTGGCTTTGGCAATTGTTAACATGATGCCCACCTTGTCCCATTGAGATATTATCACCCACTCTTATCCTCTTAATGTCAAGGAAAGAGTTGTCTGAAACCCCGTTTGGCCTCTTGTTGTTGACAGGTGACAGATTTACAACCAACTTTCTCTTCAAGGATCCTTGGAGCTGAAGGAAGCAAAGACAAAAAAAAAAAAATCGTTAGATGACAACGAAGAAACAATCTGTAGTCTGTCTGATGCTTACCACGTCAACAGGCAAGTAAGCATTGCAAAGTACAGAAAACTATTCTGGATAGCACAGGTCGGTGAAAACAGTCAATGAAATTGTGCAGGATGGTAGGGAAATATACTATGAGACATCTTCCTGTCATCACCATCCCTGCTCTTGTTATGCAACTGCAGCTTTTGGGCACCGCTGCCTCCTATTAAGGCCCCACCTTCCCTATGGGTGGGAGTGCAGAGAAGACCAGACCTGTAGCTGGCAAAGTCTAAAGCACGTCTGTCCCAGATTTGCTCCCATCTAACTATGCCAGGCAGTTCTACAATATTTTCAGACAGCAGAGGCTAATGCAGCCATGAAATCTGCCCATGTCTACTCAAGGATGAAGGATTTCACTGATGATTTTGGTGTATGATCCAAAAAATCATGTTCGACTTCTGTAGAGTCCAAAGGTCCTAGAAGACATTTTAATGGCACAAGTGAGATTTAGGTATGCTGGTCTTACATAGCTTTATCCAGACAAGAGATGCATGTAATTAAAGAGGTTAGATGCTAACTTGTTCCAGACTTGAAATGGAGCCACTGGAACCATGTCAGTTTATGTCAGCCAAGGGTCTGATCCGTGATGTACCGCCGGATTATTTTCCAGATTTGTATATTAATACATTAAGCCCTAATTGTTTATGTTCTGAAACATCTGCTGTAAAACAGAGTACACACAGCGCTGCTCTGAGAACTGCAACTCTATTTCCTTTCCCTCACATACTGAGGGAAATATTTTTATCTGCTCACTGTCCTGTGTGCCTGCTGAAGGAAAGGAGCTCATACTCTGTCCACCCAATCTGTGCTCATCTGCCACACTTGTACGTGCAAATCCCCACTCTCTGCACACAATACAAAGATGTAGTCTCGTGAGATGACAGAAGTGCAGAAGACCATAAGTGTATGACACTGCTGTGGGCCCCAATAGTCTCAACTTCAGGCTCATCAATGGAGCTCTTCCCAGATAACTCTGTGCGCAAACACTTTTTTCTGGAGTGAATATCAGGGAGTTGCTTGGGAAGAGCTCAAGTCACAAATATGTCTCCTCAGTACCTTCAGGAGTAACTGACTGCCATTAGCTGTCCTGGTGGTCACCTGCAAAGAGCAGGGACTGCTGTTGGTTAGCATGTTCTTCCTGACACATGAGTCACTGTACTTTCCTTTGCAAAAAGAACAGTAAGGTGCACTTCCTTTTACCATCAGCTCTGCAGTCAGTGTGTTTATTAGAAGTCATTCTCATGACCCCAAATTCATCTTCCTGGGAAATGGGGAAGTCCCCTGGTTGTCAAAATACGTGACTTGGCAGCATGTCTTGCTTTCAGATGTGCTGCTGACAAAAAGTCTGAACAGATAATGAACATGTATGTGTTTAATGCAGTGAATTTGACCTTCTGAGTTCATTTTGCTTTTGCATGACATTTTGAATCAAAGGGAGCTGCTTAAAAAGCCTGCACATTTTCAGAGCACCTGCATCAGGCTCTCGAATGTGACCAAAAATGCAGGTGTTGCACTGTGCAGAGCGGTTGTTTTTCTCTTGCATTTGAACTAACTGCTGGCAGATAGGGGTGAGGTACGATGTGGTTTGCCCAGTGACTTAGACCAGCCAGCACCAAGCCCTCCCTTGTCATGGGTTGGAGGACTCAAGGTTTTCACCTCACGTGGTCTCTTGAAACACCCACCAAAAAGAACACTTTCATTTTCTACAGAAAAAATAACAAGTGCTCGCTTATTGCATCCCCACACCCCCCCAGCACAGCTCTCTGAATGCCGACAGCACCTTGGTCAGTAGGTGTCCCTCCTCTTAAATCAGAAATGAGACAGCAAGGCTGGAAATGTGCACTTTTCTAGCAATTCACATTTTTCAACTACTGACCACTTTTTCAGCAAAGCTCTTTTTTTTCTTTTTTCTTTTCCTTCTTTTCTTTTCCTTCTTTTTTTTTTTTTTTCCTCAAGCAAGTGTGCACTCTTCAGAGGGGAGAAAAAAGGAGCTTGCCAGATTTCAAGCTCCATCTCTTCCAATTTGCAAACCAGGATTGATTTGGGTCAGTAAACCTAATACAAAAGTTCCTATGCACATAACACAGGCACATTCTTCAGATCAAACAGGCCTGTGATTACACATCTCAAGCCACTCAAACTGTGTCATACTGAAAGGCTCTGTGATGGGAAATGTGTGACATGACAGTAACCGGGAGAGGAAGAACTCTCCATGCTCAGCTCCATCCCACAACAGGTGGGCAGGACTTTATGAACCATCAAAGAGAACACGCATTTCCTGGCAGCCTGTATCATTTAAGACCTTTTGCTAAGCAGGCTTTGGTGAGTCAGCACGCATTCATGCACTTACAGTGAGGGAGTGCTGGATGCATTGATTTTCTGAAGTTAAAACTGCATGGGCTGAATAGCCAAGTTGCTGGACAAACTGCTCAGTGACATTAACAGCCAAGGGTGAAGCTCTAGAGATGACTCGGTCTAAACAGCACAGTGTGACACCACCTCCTATGCAGAGGGACAATTAATTCCTCCTTAAAACTTAATTTTGAGTCTCAAAAGAGATTTAAATGATGCAGCCTCCTCTCCAGCGCTCCCCAGCGCCCAGCCAAATCAACAGGAATTCCACCGAGCTCATAATTAGGGCTCATCAAAATCTGGTATCAAATCTTTTGGGGAAAAAAAACACAAAAGCAAACAGACTCTTTAGCAGGATTTGTTGTGATAGGACAAAGGGAAATGGTTTCAAATTAAAAGAGAGAAGATTTGAATTAGATATAAGGCAGAAGTTTTTTACACTGAGGCACTGGCACAGGTTGCTCAGAGATTTGGTGGATGCCCCATCCTTGAAGACACTCAAGGTCAGGCTGGATGGGGCTCTGAGCACCTGATGAAGCTGTAGGTATCTCTGTTCATTGCAGGGAGTTGAACTAGATGACCTTTAAGAGTCTCTTCCAACTCAATTCTATGATTCTACCCCCATCAGCTTTTGCTTTACCTGTCCTGAGGCTGAATTTGTTACTAAATGCGAAACAAGAGAATTTTTATGAAAACTGATTATTTTTTTCTGGCTCAAAAGTTGTTTTTTTTTTCTTTTCTTCCTCTTCTTCCCCCCCTCCCCTTCCCCCAGTAATTGGACACAAAGCTTTCTTTGGTGCAAAAAAGTTCAATTTATCAATGAGAAATGACAGAGATTTCTTCCTCCAGCTATCACTGGAGCAGTATTTCTATCACATCTCTGTTCCACTTCTGACATTACCCAAATGCATTCGCTCGTATTGCTTTCCAAAGGGGCTGTACAAAATGGCCAAGAAAATAATTTGTCAGTAACTGCAGGAAATAATGAGGACTATCTGATTTCAATTTCACTGAATGTCTTTCCTTGGACTTCCTTTAGATTTTTTTGTTTGTATCTTTTAATAACACTCGAGGAAGTCCTGAGTGTGTCATCCACAGCAGTACTGGGTTCCACATCTCATAGGATGAGTAGGACAGAACCTATACCTTCAACCTGTAAGAGATCTCCATGGTGCCTAGAGACCTCCAAAGGAATTCATTTCCAAGTCCAACAATCCTTGGCCTTGAATAGCAGTGCTAGCAACAACTCTAGCCATCATCTCACAGTATTATCAGTCAGACCCTGAAGACTGGACCAAAACACCAACACAACCCATGCAAACTACAGAGCTGGTATTTAACTCTCTCTAATAACTGAAGGTATAAAAGGAAAATCTCCCATCATTTTTGCTTTCCCATCTATCTAATTTCCCTGCCAACGTCTGCAGCTTTCTTAGCTTTTGTGGCAGAACAATGGGAAGGAAACCAAGGGGACTGCCATGCTTTGTTTATAAAGCAGGCAGCATGGCAGTGCTAGCAGCTGGGGGGGAGTCAAATCCACTTCAAAAAGTCCCTTTTGGACTTCCTAGAGTTTCTCACAATATGTTCTGGTTGTATTTATGGCGGCACTGTAAACAAAATCCTTTATGTATCTGGAGCGGAATTGTAAAGGAATTGTAAGAAAAAAACAAAAATATTCAAACATTGGAAGTTGCCAAAAAAAATAAGAAGAGAAAGGAATTCAGTCCTAAGGGGGAAAACATGCAGAATGTTACTTCTCACTTACGCTGTGAAAGCACCTTTGCGTTCCAGGCATTAAGCGTGGCCTGGATCTCAGCTGCTGCCCCCAGCTGTCACAGCCCTCCTTGGCCACCACAGGTCCGGATGCTGGGGTCACTCACCCACCTCACAGCCCCTTTCTGACCATGGACATGCTTTTTAAGACCAGGCAGAATGGTTCCCAACACTAAGAGGGCTGCTTTGAAAGTAATATCTCCTATTTCATCATGTCGGTCCACAACACCAGAGATGGATGTCGGTGGTATGGTAGTAGAGGATGAACCTTCCCACCAATATTCTGTTACATTTTGTTGTCGTGTGACAGATGGCAACAGAGGGGCAGTCTGACAGAATGGTATCTCACATGAAGTGTGTATGAAGCAAAGGTGTGGAATTGAATTCCTCCAAATAATCGCATCCATTGGCATTCACTGATGCTTGCTGAGTGTTTGTGGAGACTAACCAGTGGTTGAGAGTGCAGAGAGGCAGTGAGTGGTGCATTTCAGCATTGGTGACAGCAGCAGTGGTCACTTCCACTGGTGAGGTTTTTTATGAGCACAGCACGCAGGCTATTGCTCATTGCTAGCGAAAATGGCTCAGTGGTGGTGGCTACGCTGAAAAACTGTTTCACAGCTGAGAATTTACTCTATCAAATAGTGTTACTGTGCTCTTTGTATTGGTTGTAATATCCATGGAAATAAATAGGATGCATTACTTTCGGAGCAAACAACATACATTTTTTTATACAGCTCCTGATACCACCTGGTGGCTCCAGCTGTTCCCTCTCTTCCCACATC